GATAACTTTGTTAACAGGTTCTGTTCATGATCTTGGTTTGATGTTCATTACGGCAACAAAGTTTCGTATTTGATGCATCGTTACAAAACTCCATCTTTTCTCCTCAATAAGTTTATCTGCTTTCAGGAACTGTTTGAAAAGTTGACACAGATGGCAAGTATTGCAACTGATATGTTTGTAGGTAGGGAAAGGTTTGCTACTATTCTATTAATGAGACTCACTGAGACTGTGATCCTTTGGCTTTCTGATGATCAAAGCTTTTGGGAAGAGATAGAGCAGGGGCCTACGCCTTTGGGTCCCCTTGGTCTTCAACAGGTATTCTCACATGGGAAAAAAAACTAATTATAACGCATTAATGCTTCCTTTTATTTTAATGATAGAACATTTTGATGCAGTTTTATCTGGATATGGAGTTTGTTATGATTTTTTCTTCGCAAGGCCGGTATCTGTCTCGAAATCTGCAACAAGTTATCAAAAACATAATTGAGAGAGCCATTGATGCAGTTACTGCAACTGGAATTGATCCATTCAGGTACATATAGTCAGCAAACGATTTTTAAAAATCAACAAATATGATCAAATGAATGATAGACGAGGATCCCTCATGGGAGCATTTTCATTTATCAGCAATTCTATTTGTGAGATCAAAGTCAACTACTTTTTGTTTCAAAGTCTTTTTATTATTACATCTTCAGCCAGTAAGCTGATAAGTGATAACCTTCGTTTCTGCAGTGTCTTGCCAGAGGATGACTGGTTTGCTGAAGTTGCTCAAATAGCAATAAAGATGTTGACCGGTAAAGCCAACTTTGGGAATATGGATAGAGATGTAACAAGCCCTACAGCATCTGTATCTGCAAAATCTATATCTTCAGTCGTATCCCATGGAAGTAACTAGAGTTTCGCCATTAATATTTGCTCTACGCATTATCACAAAGCAACCAAGCTGCCACTGGTCATTTATCCACACTGCCATAAAAATCCTTAGTTCAACTTTCAAGAATATATGTCTGCATTTTCCACGGAATCTGTTTCATAAATTGTTAACAGGCCTGATGGAACAGGAGCTTCTGATCCCAAAGGTTCCAGCAATTAGTCTTCCAGATGGAAAATGATTAAGAGGTTCTGCAAATTACAGGGAAATTTGTAAAATCTCATGAAAATTTATCTAATTCCTTTGCTTATAAATTGTTAAGAGCCTAATAATAGAACAGGGAGTTTATGGTCCCACAAGTTCTACTGATAAGTCTAAAGAACCAAAATGATCAAGCACGTTAAAGAGAAATTTGTAAACCTCATTATATTCTTTTTCTTTTACCATTGCCTTCATGCTTATATAAACCTGGGAAGGAGTAGCTTTGATATTGTAATTAATATTAGTTATTGATACCTTCTACAAAGAACAAACTTCAACAACAGTGGCAAATTCAAAATTTTTGTCGGAGTATTCACTTATAATATATATATATATATATATATATTTATAAAACTGTCCATAAATTTACTACCAATTCTGTGGATGAAAAAAATGTTCAAAGAAAATTTTAGAGTGTCTAAGAAAAATTTTTCTTTTAAATTTTTTGTTTTACAATTGTTAAGATGTCATAAAACACCATACTTTTAAATGTGGATGTGCCACTGTTCACAAACTTCGAGTTTGAGACTGACTGTTGTTCTTTTGCTCGTTTCTGTCAGTGTACTCTTATAGTTTCCTGCTCTCTACAATTCCCTTTTGAAGAATAGCAGTCTGTTTCTTTCCCTTGAGATAAACAGAAAAATTAAAGAAAACCAGCTTGTCACGTTACATAAATCAATATGTAGCCAACGCATTATGGACATGAATTACACATCGATCTTGTTTAAATTCTGTCGTGAAATGAAGTGCAGAAGAAAGGGTGTAAGATCCCGTAATTCTGACATGATATTCAACTGCTTAATTGCTTTATAAAATGTAACCAGCTGTGTTTCTATGGAGTGCATAAACAAGTATAGAAACCTTTATGGTTTATTGGTACGGCGTGTAGAAAAATAGAAGGGTAAGAGATCCTGAGAAAAATGAAAAGTAAAAAGATGAAAATATATTTTTTTGGTTAAAGGTATAAAAAGTTGTTGAATTATAATTAAAAAATTATTCAAGTTATTTTTTATTACAATCAATCAATTTCTTCAACATTTATTAATATCTAATTAAGTTTTTTATTTGGATAAAAATTAATACTATTATTTTTTTTATCAACTAAAATAAAATTTCATATGATATCAATAAAATATATAAAAGTTTGTTACATGACATAACAATTAATATATGTAAAAATTAAATAAAAAATTTTTTTCTTTTTCTTTTCTATTTTCTATTTTCTCTCTCCCTCTTTAAGAAGATCTCTTTAAAATATTTTTAGTATCTTTTGTAAGATTATTATGATAATGTAATCATTATGGTAATCTTGTTACCAAAGTGATTTTAACACTTGTAATTTAAAATTATTTTATTTAATTAACAATCATTAATTCTTAAGAATTAAAGACTACTATTTTTGGTATTATTAAAAATCAAATATTATTTTATTTAAAAGTATAAAAATAATCATACATATTATAATAATTACACAAATTAACAATTTTAATGTTGTTTAAAGATAATAATTTATAAAATATTAGTAATAGTTATTTTATAATAAAATATTATTAAATTATTAAATTTATAAATATATTTATTGGTAGGTAAAATTATTTTTATAATATAAATTATGTAAAAAATAAAACCAATCTATTAAATTCATAATAAAAGACAAATATTATATTATATTATATTATATTATATTTAAAATATTAAAAAAAAGCATAAATTATTTTTAAACTTATTACAATGAATATTAATTTAAAAATATAAAAAATTATAATATAAAATAATTATAATTTTAAGATGCAGCGAATATTTAATTCATATATTAAATGTATAAAATGAACTTTTATTAATTTTATTAATCACTTTACTTTGATAATTAAAGTTTATCACCTTTTTGCATGGGAAAAATATCACTCTCAAAAGCAATGATTTGATCACTCTATGATTCAAAATCACTATCTCATAAGATTATCAAATGCTTACAAAATATAGTGATCTAATTATCATGTGTAAATCACTATAGATTTTAAAATAATCATTTAATAAAAAAAACTACTTAAGGGTTTAATTGATTATAGTTTAGAGATTGATTAAATTTTATCACGTGATTAGATTTTATTCATTTAAGGATTCAGTTGAGTCAAAATAAGAGATTAAAAGTTTGATTGATTATAATAAAATATTGAAGACTTAGTTAATTATTAATTATAATTTAAGAGTATTTTTTATCCTTTAGCTATTTTTTGTTTTTCTTTTCATTGATGCGCTTTGTTGGATAGATGAAAAAATTATAAAAAAAAAAATGTAATTTTCCTGTAGTTCATTGTTTGATAGAGTTGAAAATGAAAGGAAAGAAAATGAAAATTATATGATTTTATCATTCTAATAGTCTGTAAATTAAGATGAAGAGAAAACTAAATATAATGAACAGTTTTATAAATATATAATACATTCCCACACCTATTCTATTTTCTTTCTTTTTTTTTTTCAATACGAAGTGATTTATTTTTATTAATAAATATTAAAAAAAAATCCTTCCTATCTTTTCTCCTCTCATTTTTTTTGGCATATTTAAAATTCATTTTCTTTTCATTTTTCCACTCGCTTATCCATCTTCCACTTCTCCCCTTTACTAACTGCACCCACAAAGTTTCGTTTCCGGTTGAAGTTTTTAAAGTACAACATCAGGACCACCAATGATCTAGGAACATGGAAGTTGTTAGTCTTAAAAACCTTAGATTTACCGATGGCATTCCTGATTCATTAACGAACTTGACAAATCTCATGCATTTGGATCTTCATAGCAATTCCGAGACTGGTGATATACCAGAAAGTATTGGTGAGTTGCAGCTTTTGAAAGGGCTTGATCTTTCAGATAATTTTGAGCGGGGAAATTCCAGCTTCAGTAAACAATCTGACATCCATAAGAGGGATACTATTTCAGTCAAATTTTAGTCAAATGCCTACGGCTGCAAAACAAGCGCCCAGGTGGAAGAATACCAACCAATTTCGTATATCTAGCCTTCCTCCAATTCCAAAGGATTTTTCTAGCAAGCTTGAGGGAGCAATTCCTCCAATTTCGGGTAATCTAGATGCTTTGACAACAAGTTATCTGGGCTCAAAGAAAAGTCAATTGGTCAACTCTCTTATCTCATAATTTCATTCAAGGACCATTGCCTGAGGAAATTTCTGCCCTCCAAAATTTGCAAACAATGGATCTCTCATTCAACCTTTTAAATCTAACCTCCATTCCATCTAGCAGAAATGCCATCTATTTCCTGAATGATAGAATATGGATGCAATTGAAGGCACACATGGATGCAATTGAAGGCACATTTCTTGCCATGAAGGACCATTTAATGTGGTGAATGGGGACTTGGGAGGTGGTCAACAATTATGCTTTTCAGGTTGAATTTGGCGCATGCCAGATGACCAGCATTTCCATACTGCCGATGAAAGAAAATCTTGTCCTTTTTTTGTTTCATAAATTCAATCGGCTTTTGGAAAGACCGAAAGGACCAAACAAGGAATTAATTGGATATTAAAACATGGAAAGAATTTGCTCTATAAAAACAAAGAACAAAGAGTTAATACTCAAACACAAATTTTGGGATTCTCCTGATTTATAATAGCTACCCAGCAGCTCTCATTGCTGTTCATAAGTTGCATTTGGAATACAATTATTTTCCAAATGGAGTAAATCATATTTTCATTAGGCATCCAGATGCAAGAAACCCAATGGAGTTAAAGAGTTATATTATAATTTGTAGATATTAAGATTTAAATTTAAAACTGTTAAATATAAATTTTAAAAATAATTACATAAATAATATAATTTTTAAAAATAATTACATAAATCAACTCATCTAAACTTTAAATTGTTTCCCTCCCCCGTCATAGCTAACCCAAAATATATCCAACAATCCAAATGGGCTGTATTTCATTATTGTCCTCGGCAATTTACATCTCCACAGCCTTGAAATCATGCCATTCACAAAAGCGGGGAAAAAAATATTTACAATCATGGTCTAAATCTTAAGGTGATAACTCAGCAGATTATGTACAAACATGGCACTTGCAAATGTCGGAAGAAATATCATCAGAATTCAAACTTCAACATATAAACGCGTCCCAAAAAAACAAGTGACTGCACATAATTCGAGTCAGGCCTGCAACAATCATGGTGCGTTCCGTATATGATCATGCTTCTGTTTCTGAATGAATTCAAAAAAAAAAAAAAAAAACATAGGCATTAGAATAACGTTCAAATCAGCTACCATCCAAAAATGACAAATGATGCTAAACTAGATTTTAAACTGGATCTCTGGATGTTTCTGCCTGGGTGGTTGAGCACTCTGAATCAAGTTGCTGTACTGATAATGCATAGTTGTCCTATACATATAAAAGAAAACAAATGCACGAGCATGAGGTTATGGAAATTTTCAACTCTTAGAGATTCTAAGGAACGAAGTTCCGTAAGGAACCAATCATATACATTAAAATAACAAAAGGAAAATTCCTTTAATCATACAACTACTTAGGCCCTAAGAAACTTTTACCACATTCACATACCATTCTTTCCTTTACAGAGATGCTCAAAACATTAGCAGGTGGTTGTGGGTCGGAGCAAGCTGACACTGGAGAACAGGCAGGCTGAACATACCATTGTGAAAAGAATCATTTTTCTTTCTTTAAAAACTGCCAATATTCCGAGTGTTTATTTTTGTTAATGAGAATAAATAACTTGCCTCTGAAACACAAGAGTCGAAAGCATTGTTTGCTTGCAACTGGTTGCCAATTGAATTATACCCCTGAGATAGCTGTGAAGCTGAATTACAGGTCCAAGAAAGAAAAGGGTTGCTTCAACAATTAAGGAAATCATGCTTGACCTCAATTGAAATTTGAAAGAGAAAAAAGAGTACAAGCACAAATGCCCTTTTCTCATTAACATAAAAAAATAGGTAATGTGTATACCAGATTCAAATGAACTAAGTGACGGAGATATGGGGTAGCAAATTTTTCTCATTCCCAGATAGATTAACAATGACAATGGTTTTTGCTACAGATGAGAACTAAAAAATAGATTCCAAAGGTTACTGCATTACATTTAATTGAAACAACCAGACTACAATTAAAACCCTGTAAAATAATAATGTAATTAAACAAAGAAAGCTTGTTTAACATCACATGCAGTAACCGGTTTCGCTACCCTGCAACCAGCAAGCTTATGTTGTCTTCACATATGTTCAATTCTCTTTCAAAAAATCAACTCTCCATGGATACAAGAGGGATGAAGTGTCTCACAATATGATCAGTTCTTTTATTAAAAAGCCCTACAGAAGTGAAAACAAACCTCAATACCTCTATTCGCTGCAGCATCCATGCTGCAAGTCTTATTTGGAGATTGTTCAGCACTGTGTCTAATTGTATCCTGAATCCTGGTGGGCCAATAACAATACAAAATAACTAAGAAAAAGGCAACAAATAAAAGAAAATTCATTGCTAATATCATTTTTCCCCTACTTCAACAGAGATGCCATTTGTGTTTTTATGGTCTATCTTGAACCCAAACAGTTTAAACTCAAAAACCCATGGGAAGCATGAAAATAGCATGCATATACGAGCACATGCATGCATGCAGATTGTAGAGTGTAGACACGTAAAGAATTTCTGAACCTGTCAAGAGTCTTATCACATGTAATGTGCATGTCAAAGTTCATTGAACAGTTTGATCACTCATCAGAATAACCTGACAATCCGGTTGATACACATTTCTTTGCTATAATAAATTTAGCTTCTATAATCACATGATAATATATTCAAATTTGGAGAAATATGCTCAATGTCAGGAAAGATATTCACTACATATATATTCATTTTACCGTTTATCTTCCTTTGGTGTAATCATTTTGCACTCTTCTTGACTTTCCAGCATTGAGGAGACGGCCCTCCTTTCCTGTCATATAAATCAATAACATCTTAGACAACAAAAGCAAATGGTTGACAGATCAAGATATTTGAAAGTTTAATCTTTTCTCTTTTTTTTTTTTCCTTATTTGAAGGAGAAAACAGTACTCCACCCAGCAGCCTTGAAGGAAAAAGCTGCCAGATGAGTAAAGAGGACCAAATTGGTCAATTTGCTGATTAAACTGTCCAATTTATTAGTTTACACGAAGAATCTCAAACCCAAGTGTTAAAAGTTACAAGTTTAAAATGGTCAGTTTGATATTAACTACGAAGAGAAGTTTACAAGCAACCATAAAGGCATATAATGCTCCTTCCATGGCATAAGGTTATCACAAAGGCAAATGTCCTTAGACAAATCTAATACATTTCATCACTAAAGTATTTCTCTAAATTTTAAAGGACTAGCTATAATGTTAGAAAGCTTCTTAGACGGTTTTTTTAAGACTTAAGGATAAGGTCCATTCCTTGTTTGAATTTTGAGAATGATATGCTAAAAGCCAAATTAAGTCTTCTTACCTCTTCATTCATATTTGCAATAGCGTTCTGAATCCTCTGTAATATATTTGCTAAGCTTCTCACCTCAAAATGCAATGCCTGATTATTAAAACATCTGGAGAAGTTTGGAACAAAATTACAGGGAGAAGAATGTAATGAACAGCCAACAGTTTGGAACGGATACCTCTTTCTCAGATACTAGATTCTGTATGACCGTATCCTTTGACAATATGGTTTTCTGAAGGTGTTGTTGACTAAGGAAACACAATGATGAGAAATTTCTTTAGTTGAAATTGCAAATTAATTCGTCTGAAACAAAAGAATGTTGCATTTATCTTCAATACTTGTTTGGATATCTCTTCAATTTGAGCTTGGCTGCAGTCACTGCTTTTTGCTGCTTCAAACTGTGATTCTAGCTCCGAAATTATTTTATTCTTTCTTTGAAACTCATACTCATCATTTTTCAGTCTATTTTCTAGGTCATGGATCCTCTCTGCAAAACTCAAAAGTAAATCCAGTTCTAGTGGACAATAAAGAAGGTAATGATTTTTGTTCATTGCAAACTTTCGCTTTTGTGTTGTATCAGAAACAATTAGATTGTGAATAAATATAATTTGAGAGTTACTAGAGTACCCAAATCATTGATGTCTAAGGAATTTATATATAATGCAACCTCCTCCCCATTTCCTTGCAAGTGAGAAACAAAGATAATGGAGATCAATTCATGACATAATATAGGTGTCCAAGTCAAGGAAGACTGAGCATAACATATTGTTATCCATGTTGCTTGGACTCGGGTGTGAGTGTCAGACTCCAATACAGAGACATTATTTTTTGAAATTTTTCCTACATACGCCCACACCCATGCAAACTTAGAAGTGTTAGATATGTGCTTGACACAGTACTTCGGAAAACATGAAGCGTTAAAGCAACAAAGATTTTCATATTCTAAAGACTAAAAGATTTTCATATTCTAAAGACTACATAATGAGCTGAATAAATAAGGTAAATAAGAACTTGAATTTACCAACAAATGCTTTTTCAAATGCAGAGACCTGATCCATTTTCCTCCTTAATCCAGCAACTGAATACACCAAACAGTGTTAGAAGAATACAAATACTGCAACATCACATCAAATGATTGAGCCTGTCACATGTGCAAGATGAGGGTAGACATGAAAAAGGAAATAGACAAACAGTCACATGCCTACTTCCTCTTTTTCACTCACAATTCTTTCCACATTATCCACAACCTGCTTGACAGAGAAAGCCTCCTTTTCTATTGAATCAAATAGTGATAAATGAGAGTTTATTTTCTCAGATAGGACAGCGAGTTTTCTATCTCTAGCTTCAATTGACCTTTTCATTTCACAATTAGATTCCTGCACATAAACATTAGGCCAATGACTAATATATAAGTTGAACACATTTTCTTGACATGATTAAAACTTCAGAACACAACTACCATCTAAGCAAAGCAATTGCTCAAACATTATGCAGAAACAAACACAATAAGCAGAATTCTGAAATGAGCTATAAAGAAACAAATAAGGCATTATAGAGTATCAATTCATTGACTTATTTGATTTGCTTTGTCATCAATTTGCTCAATGACGGAGCCAAAGGGGTGAAGGGGGTCATGGCTCCCCTCGCTTTTCTAAATGTGGAGTTTACCCCTAGAAGTTTCTTTCATTTTCTTATTTATTTTCACTTGGCCTCTCTTAATTTTCTCAAATTCCCTAATTTAACTTTTTCACACTATTTAATCAATCTTTAAGGGCTCTTGAATTTGTTTTTTTTTCAATACTTACGAGGATTATTTTTACTTTTCAGCTTTCACCAGATTCTTTTTTATATTGTCATTTGGTTTTCATAATATATACATAATTTTGCATTTAATACATAAGTTTTTACATTGCATGATAATTTTTTTCTTTTTGCATATCATTAAATGAAATACAAATAAATAAAATAATGTGTCCATTTGAATTTGTGTAGCGTATAAGAAATGCAATACAGTACCTGGTATGCATTTATAAAACTATCCCTGGACTGAAGTAGGCTCTGGATGGTTCCTTGTAAGTCCTTTCGCTTGTTTTCAAGCAAAGCGTTGTCGTTTTGAAGGTAACTCACCTGCAACAACAGCAGTTACATCAACCTCTAATTAACAAGCATTTTCACGAGAACGTAGAAGAAGGAGCGAAGCGAAATTCACAAGCCTTTCTTTCAAGTTTTTGCTGTGATTCGTTACATGAAGCTAATTCCGCTTGCAATTCTTTTAACCTTCTGCTGTATTCCTCCTCGGCTTGCTTTTGCTTCTGCGTCCAAACACCAGGTATCCATTTTCCAGGCAAAGAAAAATTTTCAAAAAAAATCAAGAAATTGTAAAATGGAATAACCTGGATTAAGAGATGGATTTGTTCGGTTGCGGAACGGTTTCTCTCCTATTAAACAATGTTACTAGAGCAAATTAATGAGGGAGATAGAGAGAGAACTGCAATGACAATTGAAAACAGGAAAAAAAATTTTGTTACTCTAAGATCGCGAGATTCAGTGACGAGAGCTCCAAGCCGAAGCTTGAATTTGGACAATTTGAGAAATTCCATTTCCATTTCTAACTCTTCATTAAATGTGCCTGTATTCATCAATCAAAAACCAAAAAACGATTGTTTTCGTTTTACAAAATGTCCGTAAATTCTTTATAATAAAAATAAAAATAAAAATAAAAAACAAATTTGTTTTAAGTTATATAATTTCATCCAAATATGTACAATCTAGTTTTGGACTAGGCCTAGAAATATGATAATATGGATATCGACCAGTTATTGTGGCCCGTAACTATATATATATATATATAAGGGCCATAACATACATTTTTTAAAAAAATTTTAAACCTAAAAGAATGAATGAAACGATAAATTTGTCAATTGCCACCCCGTAAACATACTTTGCCGCTTAATTGAATAGCAACTAATTCGGGAAAGTTTTTGAAAATTGGGTTTTATTTTTTCATACTTAAAATTGTCAAATATTAAATTTTAATTATTAAAATTAAAATTTTAATATTTTATTATTAAATTTTAACGTATCGATAGACACTAATAAAATATTTACTCATTATCGTCACAAAAAAAAGACATATATAGCTACATGCTATATAACTTTGATTCAAAAACTATCAAGTTAATTATTGGCAATATTATTTGTAGTTGGCCGTCTGTCTTATGATAGAATTATAGACTTCTTTTTTTCATATTTGTTTGCTTTTTAGTATGGCCATTAAGCACACTAATCCTCCATTAATAGTGTTAATTAATTTTTTCGATGACAATCAAATCTAAAATTTATTGATAATAGGTGAAACAGTTTTTGCTATATTTATATGTTTAAGATACCCTAAACTTAGTTGATATTGGATTTACTACTTTTATCATTACTTTAATACTCCCTCCTCCATATGTAGATATAAAAGAGATCTATCACATTATATGAATTTCACATGAGAGGATGATGTATAATTCGGTATGCATTTCTTACTTAAAGATAACAAACCTATTACATAGAAACCAATTTAACAAGAGGTGTTGCCCGTTCTATGATACCATGTGAAATTTAAAACAATAAGGATTTATGGATGAAAAATGAAAAAGAGAAGACAAAAATAAAAGAACACAAAATGATACATCGTTTGACTATGAAGACCTATATTCACGTTGTTATTGTTGTTGTTTTTTTTTTTTTTTTGGTAAAAATGTCGAAAACCACTTACGATCGCATGGCTTTAGGACTTGCTACTTCAACATATCTTCCCACTAACTCCTAAGGAGGATTAGCTAGCACATAATGATTATCATTTCCATTAAAGGCTCAACTAAACATATAATCAGTATAGAAATTAGACTCCTTAAAAAGTATGCTCAACTCTGCAATCTCAATCTCTATGAAGCAAATGATGGTACTAATTAATATAACATGATATAATGGATGTTTCCCCCACAATGCCGTTAACCTTTTTCACTGCCAATAAAGAACAGACAAAACTCTGATCGAACCCTTGTGCAATTTTCCTAGAGAAGCCAAATATCTAGGATCCATTAAAATTTTTTGCAATGCCTCCTATAGCCAACTCTTATAGATTAGATGATGCAAAATCATCTACATTAATTTTAATAAAAGCAAGTGGAAAAAGTTTCCAATCAATTAGAGACGCCAGCTTAAAAGAAACAATACTTCGGAGTTCCCTAAAATGAAAAATTTACCCCAGCCCCAGCCACAACAATACTAATGCCACCACTAGCCCAAGAAAAACCTTCCTAAAAAATGCATTTATATCACTATTTCCAAACATACCAGCAACCAAACATAAACACACCAAGCTAAAGCATCCCTCCAATCAACACATTTGTTTCTATGCATTGGAATGATTATGAAAGAAAGACGTTAAACCTTTTGTACAAGCCATCTTTTAAAAATAAAATATTCCTTCCGTTCCAAATTATTTGTGTTATTAACTTTCATAGAGTTTAAAAAAATATTTGATTTTCATGTATTTAATATTAAATTTTAAATTTTTTATAAAATTTAATTTTCATGATTTTTAATGTTTTAGATACTCAAAAAAGAAAAAATACATAATTTTGGGACCAAAAAATTGATGAACAAAGAATATGGGATGAAGAGAGTATATGAATACGAGCCCTCCCTACACTAAATAGTTCATAGATGAATCAAAGTCAAGTTATAGAAATTCGCCATTTTTAAGAGAACGAAATTTTAAATGAGACAATAAGAGAGTTAAGAACTATCCGTCTCTGATATCATGTTAATTTTAATAATGAACATCCAACCTAAAATTAATTCACAAATATGGAGTAATTCTTGTTATATTTATTTGACCAATACACCTCAAGCTTAACTCATGTGAAATTTAATTTATAACTGTTTATATGCCTAATATAAATATATAAAAGAGAAAACCATTTTGTAAAAGACAAAGAAAATTTTTTTTGAAATTCCAAAAATAAGAAAGAAATTCAAAAAAATGGAAATTTTTTATAAAAATTAAAAAAATCAAAATTAAAAAAGGAAATAAAAAATATTGAAATATTCTAAATTTAAAATATATAAAAATTCAAAACATATGTATTTTTAAAAATTCAAAATTAAAAAAATTAAATATTAATTAAACAACTTAAAATATCTAAAACTCTTTTTGAAAAAAATAAAGTTTGAAAATAATTCTTAAAAATTCACAATAAAGAAAATGAAAAATTTTTAAAATAAAAGAAAGAAAAGAAAGAGATAGGGAATGAGGGAAAGGGATATGGCCAATTGATTGTTTTACTACTAATCTGCTACTCTGCTACTAATCCCCTCAAGATGCGTCTAAAACAAAAACATAACCTCAAATCAAAAATCGACTAATTTAATCAATTTAATTGAAAAAATTGAATAAAATTGAAATCAATTTAACAAATTGAATTAAATAAATTCGATCTGTTTTAGTCTGTTAAATTGGTTTGAACCGATTTTTGCTCTCCCATAGTTTTTTGGATAATTTGCTTACAAAATTAAAGCTTAAATATGTAATTGTAAAACTAATTCTTTATATATCGTATAGACAAAAATGACATACTACATACGTCAAATGAGTATTTAACTCTAAAATAATTATAGTAATTTAAAAATGATATTAAATATTTATAGTATTTTTCATGAAATAAAACACTTTATAACTTCATATTATTTTAATATATTAATTTTTTTTGAAATAGTGCATGGGTAAATTACATAAAAAGACATTATGGTTTGGGTCAAAACACATTGTGGTTTGGGTCAAAACAAATCTACCCCTAATGTTTAAACCCTAAGTTTTTCTCCATTATAGTTTTACTTAACACCATTACTTATTATTGATCTCAACTTGTCATGCAGCTTTTTTTTTCATTTTATTTTTTCTCGTTTTCTTTTTATTTCTTCTTTAGCTTCCAAATTTTCTTTTTAAAAAAATTACAAAACGTTTCTCTCTTCTTTGCAATCATTTCTCTCATCTTCTTTCTACATTCATGGTCATTTACTTGCCATGTTCTGGCATGGTTCCTAAGTTTCAAATAATGGTGATTATTTTCATCTCTATTTCATTTTTTAAATTAATTTATTCCTTTCATATTATCTCATTTTTTGTCCATTTTTTCTCATTTGCAAATGTCAAATGATTATTGAAGGAAAAAACCATTAAAGTATTTTTATTGAAAACTTATAAAAAAAAAGTCAAAATTTTGTAGCAAGATTGGGATTACCTTATTTTTCAAAATAGGATTGAGTCAGATTGGTTTTTAGGTTTCAATGCGACTTGGGTCTTAAGTTTGGTTGTTATGGAAGGTCATTTTGAGGAAATTGCCTTGTTTTTCAAAATAGAACTAAGTTAGATTGGTTGTTAAGGTTTCAATGTGACTTGGGTCTTAAGTTTAGTTGTTATGGGTCTTAAGATTGGGATTGCCTTGTTTTTCACAATAGGACTGAGTCAGATTGGTTGTTAAGGTTTCAATGTGACTTGGGTCTTAAGTTTTGTTGTTATGAAAGGTCATTTTGAGGAAATTACTTTGATTTGTCTATCTTGTTGAAGATTGAAATATGATTTTCTTTTTTTATTTATTTTAAGCTCTTTATTAAATCAATTGAAAAAAATAATATTCTAATGAAAATGAGAAGATTTGTTCCCTGATTCAGTTGCTACATCTATCTTTCTTTCTTTACACCATCACAAATGAAGATTTCTTTTCACAATTGGAACCAAACCTAGTTTCTTTTTTCTAATAACACTACACTCTTACATTGTGTTTGGTAAGAGGAAAAAAGGAAGGAAAAACTACTTTTCTTTCACTTCTTTTTGTTTGAGAAGAGAAAATAGAAAGAGGGAAGAAAAATTGACGAATTTAGCTTTTTCTTTCCATCCAAATCAAACACTCATTCAACTTAAAAAAACAAATTTATTTATAACTTTACACCAATCATCTTTCTTTATCTCTATTTATTATCATTCATACCAAATACAATAAAGGAAAAATAACTTTCCTTCGTTTTTTCTTTCTCAACCATTTTTCCATTATCTCTAATTTTTTTCCTTCTTACCAAATATAATTTTAGATCTTTCATTTTAAAGATTCAAAGGTAAAATCCAATCCATAACAAGAACAAACTTTTAGATTTTATTTTTTTCTAGAAATAAATTTTTAAAGAAAATGTTTAAAATTTTGCATTTTCTTTCAAAAAATAATTTTGCAATTTTAAATTTTTTATTTGTATTTATTATTATTATTTAATGAAAAAGGTATTTTAGTTATTTTATTATTAAAGGTGCTAACAGAAACAAGTAGAAAATAACTAAGTGTCAAATTTTAAACTTTAAGGAATGGATTTATTTTGGCTCAAATCATAAGTTTTTTTTTTTTTTTTTTGTAATTTACCTATAGTTTATATATGTACTTAAGACATTAATGTTTTTAAGGGGTAGTATAAGTAATTTTTTTATTTAGTGTCATTAGGACATTAGGTCATTATTTGTAGGATATCTTAATATTTATAATACAAAAATATGTTTACGTAGGATAATTTACTAAATTATTTGTATAAAATAAAAAACAAATAATGTCATTTGTTTTCAAATGAGGGAAAATATGCATAGTTAGAGGAGAAAATATTTGTATTTAATAGCTTTAGAAAATACTATACAAAAACGTCATATTTATATAAAAAGGACTCTTACTAATTATGGAAAAAAATCTCATATGATATCGTAATCCT